TTAGTCAGTTGGACAAGAACTGCATTCTCCAAGTAGCAAGTTGTGATTGATAAGTTAATCAAGTTAATAAATAAAATTTTATGATAGACATGGCAACGAATATGCAGATTTTTGCATATTTGAATTTAGGTTTATCAAATATAATATATAGTTCATATAATAAAATTATAAATTAAAAATATTGTTTCTAACAGAAAACTTAATTTGATACATATTAGTGATGCATCATAATTTAATTTTAGCATGTTAAAATTAAACGGCTTAGTATTTTGTTTTATATAATTATCTTTTAGGGCCTGTCAAAGCCCTTATTAAAATCTTTCCTATTATAAGTTCTCTTATTCTGTTTTATGTATAATTACTGGTACATATATTTCTTCTTATTTATATTTATTTCTGAAACAAATGTTTTATTCTCAAACACTCTTATGAAACCGTCTTCAATTTGATCAGAATTGTTGGCATGTTGTTGTACGAAAAACGCGTTATAAGGAGACTTGACTGTGTTCTTCTCAGTGTTGAGATAGTCCCGGAAGGGGTGAAAAAGGAAGGGATGCGTTTCGACCTGGGCCTGCTAGTGGTCTCATCAGCAAGGTTACCTAGCAGGCCCCCTTATTTTCTATTTTAACATACGTCTAATGTACCCAACAATAGATACAAAGGTATACATACAAGAAACCAAAACGTACAAAAGGGTTACAAATGAAAACTTATACTATGAGATCCATGGCTTCAACATGAAGCACTCGTGATCTAAGAATTACACTTAAACTACTTAAACTTATTGCTTTAGAATTATATACATCTAAGTATATTATACATCAATATCTTATACTAGAACGCGTGTATGTATGGCTATGTATAGAAAGGCACGAAGACTACACAGCTTTTGTTTTTAAATGAGTAAGGAGAAGTCCTAACCTAGCAGGCCTAGGACGCTGTTGCAGTTGTAGGACCACACGTCCCAATTTAAGTGCGGACTGTTTTATATCCTTATTGCCAGCGGTCCATGACTCGTAGACACTCGTTGTCACCTGGTGAAATTTAGCAAGGATCAATAAATCACCTTTGAGACGATGGGCATAAGGACCCAATTTGTTTAATCATCCGCCATCACCGAAAGACGTCCGACGATGATCAATTCAGAGGTAGTCTCAGTCAGAGACTGTCACAAATCAGAACTTTTTAGTTCAACTCTAACCAGACCTAGCTATATTAGTTTAGAGAAGACCGTATCCCAGTAACATTGTCACATGGGCCTTAAATGGGCCTTACAACCCTGTAAAGCTCTGAACATGAGAGTTGCAAAGTTCAGGACGCAACATAGGCTGTCATAGATACTATTGAAAAGTTTGGAAATTCTATATATGGAAGTGGAGGGTTTACTGAGGACTTGTGAGAAAATCCTGGAGCCTTCTTAAACCTGGAATCCTAGTAATGAGGGTGAGAATGATGCTGCTATGTACTAACCTAGTAAAATAACAATGTTATATCAAACAATTTCAATATTACATTCAGAATCTTCAGAAGACTTGAAAAAGATGAAAGATGTTTAGTAATATCTCTGATTATGCCTGTTTAACTGATTGTTAGTGCTTCATTTCAAACCTACACGTTTAGGCTCACAGTCATAGTCATATAAGGGCTAATAAGTGAATCGATAGAGATGAAATTGCTTTGGTTACGTGGCCTTGGTCCATCTTTCTGCCACGAGTTCGACCTTTGGACCAATCACGTGCGATATTGTCCCAGAGAAATTCGGCAATTCATCGGCCACTATCTAGCGTCGCAGAAAGGCACCAAGGACCAAATTGGTTTCACTAAACTCCCCTATGCTTCCCTTATCGTTGTCGGGGAGCAGTAAATTTCGTTGACTATTTCGAATGCTACTTGGAAGAAATCTGGGCCATTTTGATGACCAGCCTTGCCTTTCCTTGACCCACTCGATTTCCCAGTACCGTTTACTCTTCGTTTGCTGCTCGAAAGGTCAACCAAGTTGTATCAGGGAGAGATGAAATTGGAAAGTCGCTAAAGTATGGAAAGAACAAGGCTAAGAATATGGCCAAGTATTCTATTAAAAGAAAAGGATATTAATGGCAGAATATTGATCATCAAACGGTGAAAAACAACTGTCTGAGTAAACTGATAACACTGTTGTTAATACCAGTGCACAGATATCCTGATTGAAAAATTTCAAGATTAATTAATACTATAATCTGTCATACAGAATCAACTTTTCTAACATTATAACACTATATATAACACTTACCACTATATAATATAACTATATAAATATATAGTCTTAGATATGGTTAGGTTATATATAATTAACTAGTCAAAATGACTAATCTTAGACCTCTTGCTCTGAGGAAAATTAATTTTAACTTCTATTGAAATAGGAATTTTATTGTATCAGTATTTATATTGTATCATTTGAATTATTATCATGAGTATAAAGATGACACTGATATTAAAAATGACATTTCATTATAAGAAGTACATCTTTCTCAATGCCATGGAATTTTCCCATAAGAATTTCTTGTAAAAGAGAAATTAATTAATGTAAGTGACCAAGCTGTACCTTGCAAGGATTGGAAAATGGGGTATTCAGAATGATAATCAGGTGGCATACTAATTGTAGCAGATATTAGTTTCTGAAATGAGGTAGAAGAATGTTGAGGAAATGAGGGTAAGCAAGGCAGGGCGAGTGGCAGAAAATCGAAGGAAGACACGCTGGAAATTGTGCAGGCTGACGGAAAAGCCTCGTATTTGTCAGAAATAGCTGTGGCTTTCCCCTTTGCTGCGCTCCAGTGGACTTCCTGTCCGCTCCTAGATGTCCGCAATGCGTTTCCTCAAAACCGGAAAATTACTGGCGAATCTGCTGATGCCGCGAGAAAAGAATGAACGTGGCCAAATCCTGGCCATATACATTTAGACACTGATGGTAAAAATAAGGAATATGTGTGTATACGTTTGGTGGCAACTTTATATTAGTTTTATTCTCATTGCTATAGTATTAACTAAAATTCTTCTCTAGTTTCTTCATAAAGCAGATCTGTATAGTTTCTGGCAATTATAATTCATAATTGTAACATATCTAAGTATAATATGTCTAAGTTCACCTGGGAGATAAATGCACTATATCTTTTGGTATTGTGTATGGTTTGTAACTAAAGCTACTCATTTTCCTAGTGTAGGATCATGCAATACATGAAACCAATGTTTGTATTGGTTTCCATGTATGATGAATTATTATTATAATTGTTCAGAAAAATTTTGTCACTCAGTTGGTTATAATTATTTTTTTTTAATGACTATGAAATTTGAAAGGAAATTGTAATTTTTATGAGAATAAAACATTAAATGGTTAAAATTAGATATTTGAAAAGCACAATAGATTCTTCTTATGAGAGTCAGTAGCAAGTGAAATAAATTTGCTTTAAGCAGACCGGCAGTCTGTAGCTACTGCTGTTTCACTTGATTCATTGCCTGAAGTATCCATGAATCATATTGTAACAGGATTAATGGAAATAAAATTTTTGTCTTAATGTAATTCTTTTAGCAATTCTTTTCCTTTTAATTTATATAAAAAATTTTGTTTATCTTTTAAAAATGTTTAGTAAAATATTTACAAAAGCATTCTTTTATACATAGCTTTTTTATTTTTTAGTTAGGAGTTACTTTCACTTTAAATTATTATTATCTTTTAGTTTAGTTACTTTTATTTAGTTACTATTTAGTTACTTATTTAGTAACTTTACACAAAAAGAATTAGTTTGCAAGAACTAGAAATATAAAAAGTAAAAGAATTGATAACATCAAGTAATCTATTTCTTTGTATAATAATATCTTCCTTTTTTATTGAATTAAAATTGTCAATTACGTGTAATATTGTTTATCATTATATTTCAAAAATATTAAAAAATTACAGTTAAAATCTTTCCTAGTAATATTCTTATATAAATGTAAAAAATTTAATGTAAAGTAATAGTAGTATAAAACAGTATACGGTTTACATCATGCAAATATCTCGCATATTTCGTTTAAAAATAACAGAGTTTATATTCCCTACAAATTCTTTCTAAAAAATAACAGAGGTCTTGCAAATAAAGGGATGTCGATATAAAGTAAAAAGATACTTAGGTTTCAGCTGCTGATATTTCCTTGTAATGAAGTACACAAACGAAAAATATTTTCATTTCGAAACTTCGTCTAAAATATTAAGAATACTAAGTCCCAAAGAATAAAAATATTATTCTATCTAACACTATTAAAAATTTTCTCATACATAAAATAACCTATAATACACGTTTAAATATATTACTTTCAACTAAGGTTATGTAACGAGTTAAATTTTTAATTATAAATTTCTATAATTATATTTTTAACTGTACCATTATATAAAAATCACTGTTTTTCGAAATATTCTATTATATAAATTTGATTTCTATCCAGAATATTTATTTTGGTATCTTACGCTAGATAGTTGTTAACTAACTAGTCACTAAGAAGTAACTAGAGTAACTAGCCTAGTTACATAATTCAAATATAAACCTCTGATTATTATCTGAACCAGAAAAAACAAAATTACGTCCAGACCTACAGTCTTCAAACTATACACAGTACCCAAAAAAGATTTACAGAACCGCCACATTGTAAATGCCACAAAATTCCAAACAAGCTAACCTATAATCGTTTTCACCTAAACCTTTGATCTACAGGGTACACAAGACACCTCGTAAATTCTATTTATCCCCAAGATTTACAGCGTAAATCTCGAGATCCGGGCTGAAGATGCGAAACCGATGCTTCTCTTTCCCATCTCGAAATGTAAATTCCAGTTTGTTCCCCTAGAAAAGAAATGACGCGTAGATATCGACGCGGTAAAGGAGCGACGGCAAAATGGTTGAGAATTACGAGTTCTGTTTTTCTCGCATGCCGTCGCTCGATACGAGTCCCGAAGTCAGCCGTACTCAACCGTCGCTTTTTATTCATTTCAGTTCAACGTCGCAGCTTTCAGGCATAGAGGCCGAGGAGGACACATGTAACGAACAAGTAGCCACTTACAAGGTTGGCATGCTCGGTGCATCAGGAGTTGGCAAAACCGCCCTCACCGCGCAATTCACCACCAGCGATTACATTTGCGCCTACGACACTTCTCTAGGTGAGTACACACGCGTTTCCACGCCTTCCCGCAATAGTTTACGAAATACGCGAGATTGCTCGACTTTTTTAATTGTTTGACGTACGTTTTATGTGCCAAAGGAAAAAAGAAAGAGGTAGTTAGAAAAGGATACATACAAATGAAAGCAATAGATACAAAAGGGTACAAATGAAAATTTGTACTGTGAGATCAATGGCTCTAGCGTGAAGCACTCGCGATCTTAGACTTAAACTTGAATTACAGTGCTTATCGCTTTAGAATTATATGGACCGTTTTGAAATTTTGAAAGTGGTGTAAGTCCACTTGCAGTTCGTAAATATACATTATTTTAGTTAAATTCGCCTAAAAGAAATTTATATAATCAAATTACATATTGATAAATTAATAGAAACATTGCCAGACTTGACATAATTAACCTATATTCTTTAATTGACAAATATGCTAACCTTGAATTTTCTCGAAGCAACAGAAAATGGACTTGCACCACTTTTAGAATAAACAGTCCATATAAATCTAAGAACTATATTATATTAGAACGCGTTATATATAAAAAGACACGAAAACTGTACAGCTGTCGATTGTGCTCGACTCCTACTGCGGAATACGACTGAACCGTTGACAGTAGGGGACAGTGTATATTTTGTGTGACGTCCAGAATGTACAGTTGTGTCTCGACGGCAGACGGTTTAGAACCGAGTCTCGCTAGAGGCGGGAGAGGTAATTGTTCCGGGAATTGCCGATGTTATTTGTCCCCAATTCGAGAGTGAGAAACAATAAGTTAGAAAGAATAGGAAGGAAGATTCGACCGTTGCCCGACGACGTATAATATGATCAGTTCAGCGAAATGTAAACATAGGGACAGTGGTTAGTTCGGCCGAAGCGGTTCTTGGAGGTGGAGGGGGTGATTCTGCGTCTGCTGTCGAGATATTGGGTATATTCGCTGCCTTGGATACAACTGTAGCTCGTAAGGCGCGTGACTGATCTGACAGTTAGGAAAGGAAGTATAACATCGTTGAAGGAAACGAGTCGGAGAAGGAAAACAAACGTCCAAGTGATGAAGCTGTTCGAACGTCAATATTCGCAGGCGACGGAGAAATAAATGCTGACTCGACTCGTTGAACGAAATATACAATACGTACATAGAGTCTTGAAAACTTGATTTCGACATTTTAACGTGAAATTAGTTACATACATGGAGGTCTAAAACTGAAAATATTTACTGAAGATCTAGCAAACTTACAGCATCTTTTACTTCAATAAGGAGTCATATTTTTATTAACCTAATAATAACCAAATAATTTATAACCTAATAATAATAATATTTTTATTAACCTAATTTAAGGAGAAATATTTTTATTGCAATTAATTCAATATTCAACACCAATGCATATATTATTATTAATAAATGTTGAGGGCCTGTTAGCAGAATTAAATCCATGAAAGGTAATATCCACGATTTTTTAGATTTTTCTTTTATTTTTCTTTTTATTTAAAGTTTCTATATTCCCCTTGCAGAGATAAAATCCCCCTATGTTCTTGTGACCCTTGAACATTACTTAATGATCCTTTGACAAATTAATTCACTAAGGATGAGAAAAGTAAGGACTTTTCAAGATCTTATCAAGTGGTTGTTCTGAGATATCTATAAACCCCTAGTATTAAGTTTCTGTGTAATGAAGCATAGTGTATACCACAATAATAGTGGTCTTACCAAAAATCCAAGGACTTTTCCCATTTTGGTAAGCCTGCCTTTCCAGGGTTACCCTGTTTTTCTCTATTATTTTCTTAGGACATGGCTGTCCAATTAAACTAACCAATCATCAGTCTTTGTCTCATGTTAGAAATTTATTAGAAGATTAATCAGAAGAGTCAAATTGTTAATTACTATTTATTTACTTATTACCAACTGTTACCAGCTGTCGCAATATCATTAATATAATGTTATCTCTAACTTCTCTTGAAACTGATAAAAAAATTCAATTCTCTGAAGTTTCAGCAAACTTCTTGAAAGTTGGAAATAATTTTCACTTCTTCTATTGCTCACTGCATTCGGTGGTAATACTACCTCGTCGTTGAAAACTTGAAATTGAAACTCACCACCAGACATATCTCTCAGAGAACAATGGCGATTTCTGGTACTTATAAATTTCTCTACCAAAAATATAGGTGAGCGTTAATATAAAGTTAACACTTAAAATTTTCAAATTCCTTTTGAAATAACTTAAAAGGTATGAAAGAAAACAGGAAACATATTTTTATTAGTAATAAATTAACAATAAACAAACTTATAATGTAAAGAACCGGTGATAAGTTTCCGGATACAAACACGTGCGAATAGAGGAAATATGAGAATTATTCGTCGATAATCTGCAATCAATTTTGATCAGTTTTAGCATCTCGAAGTTAGCAGCGGTAAATTTGGGCTCATAAATAATCCCGCTTCCAATTCACCACAAACGAACGTTTAATTTGTGCGTCGATAACTGATCCAGCTCTGTCGTACACGTTGAGCAATATTTCCTAGCTTTCCGGTTGGAATTGCAAATGGAAATTCTCGTGCAGATACACAGGTGAGTAATTCTCATTCTAGATCGGATGACTGATCGTTTTAACGATCCGTTGCACAAATACGGGACAAGTATTTATGGCCCCAATTTACTAATCCCTCGAACTAAATCGTTTTACTAGTTCAACCAAGATTTCCAGATTAAAACGTATATATAAAATTATTTTCCCGAAATTTAAAATTAACAGAACTTAAAAATCACACGTTATTCCATTTAAAGTTTCAAATTACCCGCGTTTTACATATACTGCGGATTAAAAGAAAATTAATTGTGACAAATTACTAGCTCAATCTGACGATTGAATTCTTCGTCATTTTATCAAAAATAATTTTATTTCGTGGTATTCAGAACAAGTTTGATACTAAATAAATGATAAAATCGTTTCTTCTTTATTTTTATTTAATATAATCGTATAGATATATTACCAGGCCCATATAAATAAATGTAAAAATATGTACATTCGTACAGAGGTCTTTTTTTGTTTTTGTTATATATTGTCAGGGTAATGTTTTAAGATATCTCCTTCACGGATTGCTTCGTATTAGTTCAGCGTTAGCTGTCGTAAAAGTTATACGCTGCTTCTGTGCATCGCGGGTAAGTTGGCCGTAGGGAATGCACCAGACAAGAAAGTGCTCTCTGTACGCTCCGGCTGACTCTCCCTTTGATGCTCCCCTACTTTCAGGTTCTTGACGACAGATGTCGACACAGGAGCAGGATAAGTTACTTACGCCAGCATTCGTTTTATCTTATGGTAAATAGTTAACATTGATCTCGTGCCTACTCTAGTGCTCTCTTGCACTATCTGCTCTCAATGTATCCTGTTCATCTTCTTCATGATGCCATACTGCTGTTCGACTTGTAACACTTTATCGATAATGAAAATTTGTATAACCTATCTTCACAATTATTGTGATTATGAGGATGTATTAATAGCTGATTTTGATGAAGTTTATGGAGAGTATAGCTTTCCAAAAAACATTTCACCTGTATTTTTTTTATTATCAGTTGTCCATACTTAGGGAATGTAAATAATTAAAATAAATTAATTTGTTTAGAAAAAGATTAGTAATATATGTATGTAGTATATATCAGCAGTTCTCAGCCCTTTCTTCTTGCATACCATGAATCAATATGTGGTCAAGTTCATTTAATGGTTATGTATTGTACTTTATCATATTATTGTACTTTGTTGGTATGTATTCATTGTAGTATACACTACTATATATAATTTAAAAATTTTATTTAGTAGTTTGGTTCAGCTTGTCACTGGTGCATGTATCATAGATTGAAAATCACTGGTACATATTATATATTATAATTTGTTTAATTAAGGGTATCATTTTTCAGTCATTATCAATAAGTCCACAATTCTATTAATAAAAAATGACATGGAAGTTTACACACTTGTATTCACCAAATTCAATGCATTAGTGTCCATAGTTTTTTGCAATTATTTTAGAAACTAGAAAAAAATGGCTGTTGTATGTATAAGGAAAAGTTGTTCAAAATAATGATTTCTGGAAGATATTTAAAAGTTATCAAAATTTGTGAAAATTCTATCAAGAAATAAGTGAATCCTAAAAATCCTAAAAATAAATCTGACACAGAGTATATTTGACAAAGATAAGATATTCGTTAAAATTTCTCTTGGAGGATAATTATCAGTAGTACATGACAGTGCATAATTTCACAAGTGAAATTATTGCTTCGAGAATTCCCAAATCACCATTCTCGCGACATGAAGGATTTCCCTAGCCCATAGTTATTACAGTTGGTATAATTTCTTGGAACAAAGCTGCTCTTACATTCTAGTCGAATCAATTTCAACTGTTCGTGATTTCGTGAAATCTTCGCTCTGTGTTGTGTTTAATACCTCCCAAAGTTTACTCTCATTCTCAAATTACGTAACAAGACTGATGCTCGACCTTCTAGCATTTGGTTCGATATCGCAGTCATAAATGAAACAGCGAGTCTGTCTGTATAGAATTCTCCTAATCCTAAGTTATTGAAAGACAACATCGTGAATCGAAGAATAAGCACGATTTGTTAAAAGTTAAACATTTGAATGCTTTGTTTCTCGTAGTTTTCCTTCTTGAAGTTTGAGGATTGAGGATTCAATATGGCGGAACTGCCGGTGCGCAGATTATTAAACATGGCTGCCTAATGCATACAGTATAGATATTAAAAAGACACTAGAAGGAATTATACATGTAATATGTGATAAAATATTTGTTTTATATTCTTATATGAATTTTTATAAAGTATTGTTAAACATTTTTTAAATAACTAAATATTCTTATGCAAATAGAAATACATTATAACAAAAAATATATAAAATTCTATATTATGATAAGCAAATAGAAATACATTATAACAAAAAATATATAAAATTCTATATTATGATAATATATTATTTTGTGTAAAATGAATCCC